AAGGTACTGAATACGGTTCTCACACGGGTTAGAAACCGCAGGGTCAAGTCCAAATACACAGGTAAGATGACTGCTGAGTGTTAAGGGAACTTGGGGGGCTAGTGTCGAAGCTGCAGGAGGGCGGCTGGCTGGGTGTGGTTTACAGGCACCGAGGGTCACTCCAGCGGGGTACACATCGCCGGGCCGCAGACAGGTCACAGCTGGGAGGCTGCCGATCCAGGAGCCAGGGCAGGGACCGTGGACACAGCAGGCCTCGCTCTCGCAGCCTGTCTCTCGGGAGCTGAGAACCCGGGGAAACTCCCGGTGGGGACTTCCTGCCTGTTCCGGGAAGAGGCTGACGATACATGCGGCCAGACAAGCTCTCCAAATGGGGATCCTCAGGCAAAATGTTAAAACCAGAATCTCTCCTGAGAGGGCAGGTTCAGGGTCATTCACAACCTCTAAGTGACACGGCCGATTACCGAAGGGCGTACCTCGTGTCAAACGTGTTCTCTGGCCGCTGCCTCCGCTGAACGGAGGGGAATGCATAGGACAGTGCGAGGCTGGATGCTCACCTGGCCTCCCTGCAGGGCGGCCATCCCATGGCGGCCTCCTGGTGGGTGGGCCCTGTGGCTGGCGGGGCACAGAGAGAGAGGACAGCTAGCAGGAACACAGAGACCCTAACTGAGGGAGAAAGGCACCCGGACCCCCAAACAACTATCAGACGGCAGCCCACAGCACATGTGGCCCAGTGCCTGCCCTTCTGCACGTCCGACACGTCACAGAAACTGCTCTCTCAGGTGTTCCCTAAACCCGCATGATCCTGTCCCCTCCTCGGCCAGATGACAGCGGTAACAGAAGAATGACGTGGAGAGTGAGGCTGTAACCCTGGGCCAAGTGGAAGAATCACCTCCCAGGACAGATGTCCACACACATCGTGCCAATGGAGAGGCCAGGAAAACAACAGGCCGCCCACCAGAGGACCTCCTTGAAATCTGGGGCAGGAGGGATGGAGAGACAGCTGACACCCCAGATCAGTCCCTGAGGCACCCCGACTCCCCCTGAGGGCAGGTTGTTAGGATGGTAACAGGTCAGAGTGGATGAACCCGTGTGGACTTTGGAATAGCTGGGTTTTATACTTCTTCGGTGCCCTGGCTGGGCACAGAGTCCCTGGGCTCGGTGGTGCTCTCCGGAGGGTCGGGCTGCCCCGGGCTGGAGGCCGTGTCTTCCACACTCACAAGGCTGCTGGCTGCCCGGGAGCTGGCGCTGTCGGCACTCCCCGACCGGGAGCGGTAAGGTGGCAGGTCGGCCTGGTTCAGTGACTCGGTGTCGGAGGAGTAGGGTGGCGGAGGGAGGTCATACCACGCGGGTCTGCAGTGGAGAAGGCAGGGTGGGGCGGGGGAGGCAGGGGAGAGGAGAAGAAAGAGAAGCATTAGGAGGAGCCAGGGCAGGGCTGACTTCTGCCCGTTTCTGAGCGGATGCTGATGTGAGGGAGGAGGCTGGCCCTCCAAGCAGAGAGGCCGTCCAAGGTGGTGTGTAATAAGACGGAATGGAGCAGGTCAGTGCGCTCCAGCTGGCTTGTGCCAACTGGGCAGGGCCTGACCACACTCTCTGGTGGAGCCAGAGCGAGGATGCCAAGTGATTTGGCAGAGCGGCTTTGCTCCATCAGCGGGGGTCCCACGGCCTGGTGTTTGATGGAGCCTCTGATGAGCCACAGAATTTGGGTTCTTACTGAAGCCGACCTGCTGTGTGGACTTGGGTAAGTGAGAGGACATCTTCCCAACACCTCCGTCCCTGTAGAAGGGACAATAACGGCATCTTGCTCCCAGAGAAATAAGAGGAAAGACACTTGGCTTTCCAGCTCTCACTTACTGAGAGCTCACTGTTAGTGGGGCCCATGCCACGTACCTCACGCTCATTCCTTTAGTAAGGATCACAAGAACCAAGGGGTAGGTGTTACTTTATGCCCTAGTCCAGTGGTTGGCAAACTTGCGGCTCAGCAAACCGCAGCTTGCGAGCCACATGCGGCTCTTTGGCCCCTTGAGTGTGGCGGTATTTTGTGGAAGACCCACACTCAAGGGGCCAAAGAGCCGCATGTGGCTCACGAGCTGCGGTTTGCCGACCACGGCCCTAGTCCTAGGGAGGAAACTGAGGCAGGGGGGCACTGAATGGCTTGCTGAGGATCACCAATAACTTGTAAGTGCAGGGCTGGGATCTGGGCCCAGGCGCTGTCTCCGTTTCAGTGATGCTAACCTTCCTCTACTCTGGAAGGTCGGATGCAGGGGCTATGGGGGGTGAGTGACATCCTGAACACTTATGCTTACTTTCCAAGAAATCCGTAAGTACCGCCCCCTGAAGCTACCTTTTATGAGGAGGGGAAAATAGATTAAATAATACAAGAGCTGCCAGTGAAGAGGACCCCATCACCCCAGAAAAAGGGGGTGCAAAATGCTCATGCCACACGGTGCATGTGGACTCAGAGAAAGGGGGACGCTGAGCAGAGCTCGGCAGGGGGGCATGGCAACCTCAGAACCCAGGGGACCCCGGGAGCTCTGTCCAGGGACTTCCCAGAACGGCAATTTGGGACACTCTGGAGGTCCCCAAAGGAGGGAGGCAGGCCGGGCAGGCAGGACTCAGACCCCTCACCCACGTCAACCCCAGGGCTCTGCTTTCTGACTTCAATACTGACTCCATTGCTAAGAGGGTTCCACTGCTTAACACAGCTGGAGGGTGCTGCTCCACCCCCTTTATTCTACACACACAGCCCAGCCAAGTCAAGGGACTTAGTAATTCACTCCCTCCTTCATTCATCCATCCCACAAGTATTAACCAAGCCTCTGACAGGCACTGTTCTGCGGTAGCAGTGGAGGCCCCAGAGGGTGAAAGCGGGCCAGCAGCCTGAAGGTGTCAGTGTGGCACTCCCGAGTCGGCCAGGATCCTAACAGTATGTCCTTAACAAGTGTCTGAAGTCCAAGAGCCTCAGCTTCCTCACTTGTGAAATCGAGGCGGACACAGAGCCATCCCCAGCGAGTCCCTGAGAGGATTAACTGAGATGACACATGTGAACTGTCCGGCAAGGTCTCTAGATGTCAGACGTTGCTGTGCCTACAGCACCTGCATGCAGGCTCTTGGCAAGACCAGGAACCAGGCTGCCACCATTCTGCTCCCCCATCGGATGAGCTCCCGGCTCCACCTGCCCCCGCCCCCCGCCCTGTCTCCTCCAGCCAGCACGCACCTCTGGTCCAGCAGGGCCTCCGAGTAGGAGGGCGGGGAGCCCACTTCCGAGGCGTTCTGCTCGGCCTGGCTGGCCACGTACTGGATGCCGTTGTTGACGTTGTAGGTGACGTTGCAGTGGTGCGGGTGGTCCAGCACCACGAGGCGGGACAGGAGCACGGGGTGCTGCAGCCGGTGCACCGGCAGCGTCATGAGGTTGTTCCGCTTGCGCTGGTGGTGCAGGACCAGTGCCAGCAGGGCCACCACCAGCACGAAGATGACGGAGCTGCCGATGATGGCGTAGGTGATGCTGGGGTAGTACACCAGCTGGTTCTCCGACGTCACAAACACCTGCCCGCTGCCCGGTTCTGAGAAAGCCCCGAGGGGAGAGAGAAGAGGAGGAGGTTACTGATTTAGCTCACCCCTCGCGTTGCAGTCAGTCCCAGGACCTGCGTGCAAATGTTTGTAGCAGCACCATTGACAATAGCCGTGAAGTGGAAACCGCCGACATGTCTATTGACTGGCGAATGGATAAACAGAATGTGGTATGGCCACACAATGGAATGTTACTCAGCCAGAAAAAGGAACGAAGTACCGACACGTTACAACATGGATGAACCTCAAAAACATTATGTGAAGCAAAATAAGCCAGACACAAGACCACATGTTGTATAATTCCATTTACATGAAGCGTCCAGGAAAGGCAAATTTATAGACAGAAAGTAGAATGGTTGCCTGGGGAGGCCAGGAGGAGGGAGGCACCAGAGATTAACTGGTAATGGGTATGAGGGAAATGTTGAATATGGTGATGGCTATACAAATCAGTAAATTTACTAAAACTCATTGAATGACACACTTAAAATGGGAAAATTTTCTGTTATGTAAGCTATACCTCAATAAAGTTGTTTAAAAAAAAATCAGCGCCAGGAACTACAATATCCAGGGAACAGGAGTAGTTCCTGTGGCAGAAATCAGTTTTTCCGTGGAAATTTATTTATTTATTATGATTATTATTTTTTTAAATATAATTTTACTGATTTCTGAGAGGGAGAAAGAGATAAAAACATCAATGATGAGAGAGAATCATCGATCAGCTACCTGCTGCACACTGGGGACTGAGCCCACAACCTGGGCATGTGCCCTGACCGGGAATTGAACTGTGACCTCCTGGTTCATAGGTCGACGCTCAACCACTGAGCCACGCCGGCTGGGCTTTCTGGAATACTTTCCATTCCCTTATCTCCAACTCTCAGTCTGTTCTCGCGGGCACTGCCTTTGGTACAGCATCTATTGTTTCTTTGTGCACCTGCTTGCAATGAATACCACGCCAGGTCCTGCACACACTTTCTTAGGACATGTATGGCACTTAAAACGTTTGCTTTTTGGTGCGGAGTAAGGATCTTCTCATCATCAAAATCCCTATGACACTAGCAGCACCACTGCTTCCGCTGCTGCTGCTGCTTGTGACCCGTAACTGCGTTCTACTGACAAAGTGAAAAGGGAGGAGAACATAAGCAGGACAAGCAGAGGCCAACATTGCTCTCTTTAGACTCAACGGCCACCACCAGGTCCCACAGGAAAGTGGCGCAAAATTCTGGGACATTGTAATATAACGTACATGTAACATAACAAGGAACACTGGTGGGATGTCTGGGTTCTTCCGTGTGCAGAGCGCTTACTTTATGCCAGGCCCCATGCCAAGCTTTCAAGAGAGAGAGGCAGCACAGCACAGGCCAACATCATGGCAGACTAGGTCCCAATCCCAGCCCCTCAGCTTACTGGCTGTGTGCCCTGTGGAAAGAGGTCAACCTCTCTGTGCAGCACTGCCCCATCTGTACAAGGAGGAGAGTGACAGTCCCCAGCTCACTGGGCTGTGGCGAGCATGAAATGAATGAAGAGCCACAACTACCCATGGCTGCGGCCCAGCTGGAAGAATCATCTAAACAGTCCAGGTGAGCAAACCTGGTGACCACACCCCATGCTCTTCCCACCCGGGAAGCGGTGAGGAGGTGTCGATGGGCCCGCAGGGGCCAAAATGTAGATGACATGTAACAGCAGCAGCAGCAGCCCCTTCCCCTGCTTCTCAGGACAGTGTCCTGGCGCTGGGCTACACTTTACTACATTCCTCATCACTCAAGGTGTGCCTGTTCTGTTCACCACTGTATCCCCACTGTGTGCCTGGCACATAGTAGGTACTCAATAAATGCACACAACTTAATAAAAAAAAATCTGTGTCTTCACATATGCTGGTACGGCAGGTGCTTTTATTGTTTTACTAGAGGCCCGATGCACAAAGTTGATGCAAGAATAGGCCTTTGTTCTCCTGGCTGCTGGCACCAGTTCCCTCCGGCACCCAGGACCTGGGTTTCCCTCCGGCACCCGGAACCTGGGTTTCCCTCCGGCACCCGGGACCTGGGCTTCCTTCTGGCTGCCAGCAGGCACCCAGGACCTGGGCTTCCCTCACAGCCCCGGCTTCGTCCGGAAGGACGTCCGGTCTAATTAGCATATTGTGCTTTTATTATTATAGACGATTCCTATTTTTCAGCTGAGGAAATCGACAGAGAGAGGTGAATTAACTTGTCTAACGTCACATAAGGAATAGAGGGGTCAGCATCAGAACCCAGATATTCCTCCTTCAAAAATCCACATGCTGCAAAACACATCATCTTCCATCCTGATCTCAATATTTCCAGATTCCCCCGAATAATCCTACTCTGACACAGATCTTCCCCCGTAAGCTCTGGGCTTTGTGTTAATTTTCTTTCCAGCTACGCTCAAACATGAATGGAAGCTACCACGTTCCCGTGGGTCATTGTTTCAATGATCAACTGTACAGACAGAAGCAAATAAAGCCCCAGACGAAAGGCAGAAGCATGCCCCAGACAGTTACAGGAGGGCGGCCACGCTGGGAGCCTCTGGAGACCATCAGCTGTCACTCAGGCGCCCGCTGGCGTCCTGTCTGTTCTCAGCTAGGTCCTCAGACGCTGGATGGGGGCTGTGTGTGTGTGTGTGTGTGTGTGTGTGTGTGTGTGAGAACTCAGACGTAAAATAAAACGGCCTCTTCACTTTGTTGTCTGCAGCACAGAGCGGAGGGGTTGCATCCTGGGGCCGTCGCTTCTGGCTGTTCTCAAGCACGTTGCTGGACTTTTATGAACCTCAGATGCCTTATCTTTAAAACGGGGTGGCTCTGTGTAAGCAACAGTAGCATCTCCTTCGGTTACCGAGAGGGTAAAGTACACCGCGCTGTACCCACAGAGAGCAGAGCCAAAGTGCCAGGGAAGTCTGCACTCAATTAACGCTGGTTCTCTTTTCTTTTTAAATATATTTGTTTATTGATTTCAGAGAGGGAGGGAGAGAGGGAGATAGAAACATCAATGATGACAGAGAATCATTGATCGGCTGCCTCCTGCGCGCCTCCTACTGGGGATCGAGCCTGCAACTTGGACATGTGCCCTGACTGGGAATCAAACGGTGACCCCTCCTGGTTCATAGGTTGATGCTCAACCACTGAGCCACGCCGGCTGGGCCTTTTTTCTTTTTTATTGTGAAAAAAAAAGGACATATCTATCACATAAAATGTACCATGTAACGATTTTTAAGTGTACAGTTCAGTGGCCTTACGTACATTCACACTGTGGTGCACACATCACCACCACCCCCCTCCAGACGTCTCATCATCCCAAACAAGCCCATGCTAACTCTCAGGGTCCACAAGCCTCCATCATCCTCATCAGCTTCTCCGGACCAGACACAGAGGCTGGAAGGGGCTGCCTTTGGGGGTAAAGTGGAGGACAGCATAAGGAGGGAGTAATTTCCTACCCAGGGAGATATGTTTCTTATAAAAGAGGAAAGGGGCTGGATTTTCACACGGAAAACAAATGGGTCCAGACTTGAAACAATGACTTCTGTGTGACCACATGTGGTTTTAAGAATGAGAGAGAGAGAGAGAGAGAGAGAGAGAGAGAGAGAGAGAGATCCTTCAAACGAACGGAATGCACAACGCTGTGGATCTTAAGGGTCTCACTGACGTCTCCCAAAGCAGGCCCTCCCAGACCTGCCCGCAGCGGCAGGCGAGAGGCGGCAATCCCACTCGCTGGAGAAACGCTGATGCTGCGAACTCGGTGGTGCCTGGTCTCCTTTGCTCTGTGTGTAAATGTCAGCTTGTATTAGTTCACTGACTAGACTCACTTTTCTTAAGAGCTCAATGAGCCCGCGGGCTAAATGACTAACATCAGAGCCGCCTGGGACCCGCGTGCCAAGCCTACAACCCGTGGATAACGGAGCTTCCATTTATTCTGCTGTCCCTCCAGCCGGTGCCCTGGTGCTCCACTGTCAAACAGCGTGCGCTCCTGTCCTGTGTCGGCCGGGTCCGCTGCGCTCCTTCCGGCCATCTGGGTCCCTGACCCAGGACCACTGTGCTCCCGGAGCTGCCGCTGGCTCCCGCGGCCACCTGGTGAGCCGGTGGGTCCCGCACCGCCAGGGCGCTCGTCCCCTCGGACCAGCACAGACTCGTGTTTTCACAGCAGCTTTCTAGCAGCCGACCCCATGGGAACCTGCAGACTTGACCCGGCTCTGGCCCCGCCTACAACCTTTCCAGAACTTTCTACCTCAAGGGTGAAGGACCAGCTCCCCATGATGCTCAGCTCGTCCCACTTGGTTTCCTTCGTCTCTGCCTTCCTACTGCCTCCCTCTCCCCCTGCCCTGTGCTGGCCTCGTGGGTTAGAAATAGGGGCTCAGGTTCCTCCCACACACACAACTTCCCTTCTGGTGCCTCGGGCTGGGAAAACGTGGGCCCCACAGCTTCTGGGTTTAAAGACTTGAATGAAGAGGCCGTGGGAAGCTTTCCCACCTCAGGCCTGAGGGGGAGGATGTGGCGTCTAGAGTCAGGTGAGGCCCGACGGAGCTGAGCCCTTTGGGGGAGGCATGTGGCCACCGCAGATCTGTGGCCTCGCAGACAGGAAGCTGGGGAGACAAATACTCTGACCTTTCTCTCTTTCTGCCCTCCAGCCTCCTGCTGCTGCTTCCTACTGACCAGAGCCACCGGGAGCCAGACGGTAAGGGGCCCCGCGGAGAGTCGTGAAGGTTGGAGTCCCTGCAGGGAGGAGACTGGCTGCAGATGGCTGGTCAAGAGCATCCCTGTTCCCTGTCTCGACCTTCACGGGGCCCGGCCCCCTCAGCCAGGTCAGTCCTACTTCCTCCCAGCCCTTCGCGCAGATGCTACCACGCTCCTGAAGCCATCCACTGTCCCTCTGCTGTAATGGGAAGGCTCCTCTCTGTGCTCCCTGCACACGCTGCCCCTCCCCCTGCCTCACCCCTAATGGCATCTCACCTTGTGCCACGTCTGACAACATGCCGGAGGCAAGGTGGCTTAGGAGGTGGCTCCCGTGGTACAGGGGCAACGGGCTGTCCCTCCGGCCCAAGGCTGACCAGCCCTGCACGCCTACTGACCAGGACCCCACACGGGAAGCACCTTCCTTCCGTCGGGTACTCGTGCCCACTGCACCCCGATGTGGGAATAAACAAAACCAACCAGAGGAGCAAAGCAACGGTGACTGCTTCAGAGCCTGTGCCGCAAGGGAGTCCCTGCCGTCACTGGTGTTTGGTAGAGACTCAAAGGCAGGCCAGGGAGCAGGGCAGCTTCCCAGTGGGGAGAGGGTGGCGTCAGGGTGTCCTGCCTGGGGCTGCCTGCAGGGGGAGCCAGAGGAGGCTAAGCGGGAGCCTATGTGATAGGTTAAGGCAATGGTCGGCAAACTGCGGCTTGCGAGCCACATGCGGCTCTTTGGCCCCTTGATTGTGGCTCTTCCACAAAATACGGGCTCTTCCACAAAATACCGACTTCTGTACATGGGCCACGAAGTTTCAATCGGCCCGCACGTGGTATTTTGTGGAAGAGCCATACTCAAGGGGCCAAAGAGCCGCATGTGGCTTGCGAGCCGCGGTTTGCCGACCATGGGTTAGGGGAGCATACATAGTTAGCTTTCTCTGCTCGGTGCTCAGCTGGAAATGGGGGTGAACACTAGGGAAGCTGCCAGGCATTAATCCAGCCGAGGCTGTTTTGGGCCCATGGTTAAGGGGTGAGCGTTTGGCTCCCAGGCTGGCTGCTGTGGGTGGAGTGTTCTGTTCCTACACACTGGCCAGTGTCCGTCTGTACACGGTGTCTCTCACTGACCATCCCACCACGTCCCCAGGTGTGGCCCAGACCCTCCTTTTGCTCCAGCCCCTGTGACACCCTGGGCAAGTGTAATGCTCGCCTTCGTCATCGGCAAAGTAGGGGCAACACACACCACCTTGCAGAGTCGCTGTGAGGCTCAGAGCTGATGCAGGCGGCGTCCCTGTCAGGGAGTGGTGGGTCGGCAGAAGCGGCACGAACAATTCTGGGCCTGTTTGTGCACATGGGAAAGATGCAAGTAGGACAAGGACAAGTCTATCCAATCACGAAGAGGCAGCGTGCATGGTGGTTAGCCTGGGCTTGGAGTCTGACTGTCTGAGAGCACATTCTTTCATCCACTTAACCAAGTCCCGATCACGGATCGGGCCCTGAGCTCAGTGCTGGGGATTCTGGAACCAAAACAGCAGAAGGTCATGCGTGGGAGAGGCCCTGGGCCCGCTTCTCCCCAGCGTGCCCCCTGGGTTACCCGCACCGGTCTGCAGCCAGTCACGGGAGCGCCCTGGCCACTGTAAACCAAGGGCACCCCACACCCACCCTGTGGGGCTGCAGCGCCTTTGGGGATCCCGTTCCAAGCTCATCTCCTGTCCCAATTTAGATGCAGATTGAAAAAGTTTAATTTAAAGGGCAGACCAACACATGACTGAATCAAAAGAGAACCATGAAATCCCCACTGATCCATTTCCATGGCAACTCAAGTTTCTAAAATTAACCGAAGGGAGGGTGATGGGAAAATCCACGAGGCCAGGCCGCCCAGCGTCGGCCGGACCACAGCAAGAGCCACCCTAGCCTGCACCCGAGGGAACCAGAGAGGGACCCACCTGCCCTGCCCGGAGGGAACTGAGGCTCTAGGACCACCCAGAAGCAGGAGACAAGCGCCACACAATGAAATTCCAAGTGAGAGAGATGAGTACGAGATGAGCATGCTCTGGGGCTGAAGACGGAGGGAGGCAGACACCTCCCTGGGAATTCTCAGTTGCCCTTATTAGAAAAGACCAAGGGGTTCTGGTCCTTCCCACCCTTCCCCATGCCTGCCCTTGGGTCAAGGAGGCAAGGAAGCATCCCTGAAAGACCCTGCATTTTCTTTTTAAAAAAATATTTTTATTGATTTCAGAGAGAAAGGGGAGAGGGAGAGAGAGATAGAGACATCAATGATGAGAGAGAATCATTGATCGGCTGCCTTCTGCACGCCCCACACTAGGGATTGAGCTCGCAACCCGGACCGGGAATCCAACCGTGACCTCCTGCTTGATGGTCAATGCTCAACCACTGAGCCACACGGGCCAGGTGCCCCTGCATTTTCAACAAGTGCTACTGAGACAGCTGCTACCTGGGGCCCCTAATGGACAGTGAGGTGAGCACGTTGGTGTGGAGGAAGCCCCCGAGATCCCAGCGCCCTCTGAGGCCGAGGCTGTGCCCTCAGAGCTGGAGCTCGGCCTCTGACCCTCAGAGGAGGAAAGTTGCCAATGACAAGCCAGGGAGTGGGTGGCGAATGGCCTCCTGGCTAAGAAACAGGCCCAGGGCAGTTACAGAACTGGCTGGAGGATAAGAGACAGAACTGGCTATTTAAGGAAGGAAAGGGCATTATTAATTAGGGATTCAGACAGCCCGCAAAACTCAGTGATGAGGGAGATTGGGAGCTGGGGCCCCGGTGGCCTTTTCAGAACTCTGCTGGGTTGTGTGATGGCCTAAAAAAGGTCAATGGGAGAGTGCAGGGAGGGAGGGCGAAGTTCTCTGCTGCCATTTCTTCTGCCGACACAGAACGCCACAGCCAAAGAGCGCAGGCGGGGAGGGAGTGCACCTCGGGAATGAGCTCAAGCACTAGGGCCAATGTTCTATTCATTCTGGCCATCGACGTAGGGGTCTCCACGCACCTCTTTCCCGAGCACACAGTGCTCACCGACCCAGGCTCCTGCACATGACATTCTGGACTGTTCTTGCAGGGAAATGGAGACAACGTGCCTCCTGGAATTTGCTGAATAAGGAGGGCTGGACAGATTGCTATTTCCATTGCTTACTGTGCCTGTTTACCTGTAGTGTGTGGTGGAAACGACAAAATTAAATGCTTAGCAGACATTCTTTGAACTCGAGGGTCAGTTGGTTTCTGGCCCGGTAATAAGGCTTGGCGAGTTATAATGCAGCGGTTTATTTGGCCTGCAGTGTCAGCAGCGGCGCAAACACTGCTAACTCAAGGGGGATGCAGGGAACGGCAATGCTTCCTGAATCTGTGAGTGCCGTATACTCACACACAACAGCACTGCAGGGAAAAGCTGACCCTAAGAACCGGGGAGGGGAGAAGACTCCCCCAGGCGTGCCACTGTCACTGCAAATACAGTTTCACTCGTGGGGCTGAGAAAGCATCAATCACGACCCCACAGGCACCCAGCCACCCTTGGGGATGGGAAATCCCAGCATCAGCCCCATCCCTGCTTTTCTTTTCCATTCACGTCCAACCCTTTCCCATTCACAGCCAACTCATGTCCAGGGGCCGGTCCTGCTAATTCTGCTTTCAATTCTTGGGACAAGTTACCATCATTTGCTACAGAGATGACCACAGGCACTTCCTAGCTGCTCTCCCAATTTCCAATCTTGCCCCCTCTCCAATCCATTTTCTGCACGACATCAAAAAAACTCTTTTGAGGAGGTAAATAAGATGACTGCTCATTGTACTCAAAACCCAACCTCCTAACAAAGGCCTAGAGCAGTGATGGCTAACCTTTTGAGCTCAGCGTGTCAGCATTTTGAAAAACCCTAACTTAACTCTGGTGCCGTGTCACATATAGAAATTTTTTGATATTTGCAACCATAGTAAAACAAAGATTTATATTTTTGATATTTATTTTATATGTTTAAATGCCATTTAACAAAGAAAAATCAACCAAAAAAATGAGTTCACGTGTCACCTCTGACAGGCGTGTCACAGGTTCGCCATCACTGGCCTAGAGAGAACTCTTGATCTGGCCCTTTACTGTTTTCAACCTGGTTTTGAGCCACCTGTCTTCTAGCACCCTATGCTCTAGCCCAGGGGCCAGTGAAGTCTGGCCCTCTGCCTGTTTTTATAAATAAAGTTTTATTGGAACACAGGTGTGGCTGTTCATTTGTGCACGGTCCATATTGCGTGGCTTTCATGCAATATGGCCGAGTTGCTTAGTTCTGACATGAGACCGTAGGGCTCACAAACCCTAAAATACTGACTGTCTGGCCCACACTGGTCTAAGTTTGATTCCTAGAGCAGACACTGGAATGAGCAATGAGCTAAGAGGTATACCAGCTGCTGTTAGGCAGCATACAGTCTTTGGGAAATTACTTGAATACACAAAATGTGGCAATCATGGCAAGTAGACAATAACTGCCACAGAGGAAATGGCGAAATGAAGAAGTCAAGGAAGAAACCAAGGACACCCTCCCTGGCCAGGCTTCCACTGGTTTTTGTTTTTGTTGTTTGTAAAAGTGAGCGAATGAAATGTTCCCACAGGAAATGGCGAACTTGGTCTTTATCTTGGATATGAAATACCTTCCCGGCTGGCTGAGGTGGCTCAGCGGTTGAGCGTCAACCCATGAACCAGGAGGTCACAGTTCAATTCCCGGGCAGGGCATATGCCTGGGTTGTGGGCTCAATCCCCTATCTTGCAGGAGGAGCCGATGAAGGATTCTCCCTCATCACTGATGTTCTCTCTCTCTCTCTCTCTCTCCCCCTTTCCCTTCCTCTCTGAAATCAATAAAGATATATATTTAAAAAAAAACACACAAAGAAATACCTTCGTGATTAAAAATCCGCCTGCTCTCTGCCAGCACCACCTCCCTGGGTGGCTGGGCAATGCTGCCTGCCTGTGGATCCAGCCGTGAGAGGTGCGTGGATGTCACATATTTGTGCTCCCGGACATGAAGGCTTGGTAGAGGTTTTAATGTTCTCCAGGACAAGGTCCTGGGGCTTCATGCCAACACCTGGAGCCTCCTGGGCAGTGGTCACTGAACCTGGCTGTTTTATAGCAGATGAATAACTACAGGGCCTGGGGCAGGGGAGGATTCAAGGTTACCTGCTTGATTCTTTAAAGAGAAAAAAAACCACCAACTATCCTATCCCCAGGGACGTTTCAGAATCCATGTATCCCTGTCAAAAGCTCCCCAGACACTGGTAAGAGGCCAGAGAGCTCGGGCCAGAATTTGTAACCGTTAATGAGGCTGTGTTAACACAAGCAGGTGAAGAACTAAGCCTTCTGTCACCGACAGAGGGCCAAAGCTGGCCTCGGAGGAAGAGTAATGAGAGGACCCCCCATGTATGGATGTGATACAAAGATCCTGTGAAGGGCCAACAGCAGAGAACTCTTGCTTAGGCATTAACCATTTACTGACATCTACTGAGGGCCAGCCAGGGGCCAGGAGATCGGGGTGACTATCGGGGCAGGAGTTACTGGGGATGGGCAGGGAACCCCGGGAGCCTCAAAGCTCCCCTGGCTGCTGAGGTTTTTTAAAACTTACTTTTTGAATAGGCAACATCTGCATGGCTCAAACTCAAAGGGTAAGAAAGGATTAGCAGAAGAACTAAGTCTGTTTCCCATATCCGCCTTCTAGCCACCACATTCCTCTCCCCAGAGGCAACCACGGGCACCAGTTTCTGTTCTTAGGAAATAGTCCAGACAGACATTAGCAAATATCCAGGATTTTTAAGACACATGGCAATTAAGTTTTTTTTTCCACTTAATGAACCACACAAAGACATACACTTTTCTAAACCAAGTGTCATTTTGCCTATTTTAATAAATACCGATATTGTACGTACTTTATGCTAGGCTCTCCTTTTTAAAAATAATTTAACTTTTTATTCTGAGATAAGTTTAGAATTGAAAAAATAGCGCAAGAGTTCCCACATAGCCCACATCCAGCATTCTTTAAAACACCTTCCCTAACCACAGAATGACTGTCAAAAGTAAGAATTAACCTTGAAACAATTGTATTAATTGCATTATGGAATTTATTAGGATTTTTGCCAGTTTTCCCCACTGATGTCCTTTTTTCTGTTCTAGTATCCAGTCCAGGATCCCCCCATCGGTGACAGAGTCTCAGTCTTTCCTTGTCTTCCTGGACCTTGACACTTTGGAAGAGGACTGATCAGTTTATTTTGGAGCAGGTCCCTCCACTTGGGTTTTCCTGAGTTTCACCATTTGAGGAACTGTATTTAAAGGGCCAGAAGGTTGAGAACCACTGTCTAAGGCAGTGATGGCGAACCTATGACACGCTTGTCAGAGGTGACACGCGAACTCATTTTTTTTGGTTGATTTTTCTTTGTTAAATGGCATTTAAATATATAAAATAAATATCAAAAATATAAGTCTTTGTTTTACTATGGTTGCAAATATCAAAAAATTTCTATATGTGACACGGCACCAGAGTTAAGTTGGGGTTTTTCAAAATGCTGACACGCCGAGCTCAAAAGGTTCGCCATCACTGCCATCGCCCCAGCCAACCACGTATCTGCAACCTCATGAGAGACCCCGAGCCAGAGCTAATAGTGTAGGAAGAGAAAAATCAACTCATGTCTTAGAAGAGCTGCGGCAGAGAGAAGTCTTCCTAGTCACAGGGCTCTGCAGGTAAGTCTTCCCAGAAGGTCTTCCTTCCTGGCATGCTGCTGTCTTGGCCTGCCAGGTCCTTCCCTACGTGACCTGCTGTCCTTATCGTGGTCAGCTTTCAAAACTCGAGTGGCCACCGAGCCACACTCTCCCTGGCTCCTCCCCACAGCTTTCCAACTAGAAATAACTTTTCTTTGCTTCAGCTTCCACCACACCTCACCTCACCCAATCCACATCATGACCCTTCCTACTCCTCCCTCCTTGGCTGAAGTTACTGATACAGCTAGTTTCCTGTAAAGAAAGCCCTACATTTCTTAAGGATTGACTGCCCGTTTCAGTCATGTTTATACCCATCCCCCCTTGCTTCCAAGCTGAAGCTCAGCATCACTAGACACCCTGGGAGGGACAAGGGGGCAGAGGGAGGAAGACTGGGCCTCGGCCGGTTTGGCCACTGGCTGGCTCGTTCTCCAACTTGGGCGAACTGCTTACTTCCTCTGTGCCTCAGTTTCCTCAGGGATTCTATACTATCTGCAGAATCAGGAAGTAACAATGAGCCTGAAATGACGGGTTTAGGATCTTCTGGGAGTTACAACACTTACCATGCACGGTAGTAGCTATTGTAACCGATATTACCACCACACTCTTTCACGAATGAGTGGTCCCTTTTCTAACAAGGACTTAATTTTCTGGACTCACCCAGGAGCTTCCTCCCCAATTTTAGCACCTGCAAATTTAGAGGAAATAAGAAATAACTCCCGACCAAAAAGTGAGGGCCTTTAGTTCAATTCTGTGGTTTTTATATCTCAGATGCTTCTTCTGGTGATGCCTCCACCCCGAGCAGCAAGGAGACACTGGTGTGAACACCGACCCCAAATCTCATGGGGCAGGAGCACTGACAAGACTCACGTCAATTAATATTCTCCTCATCACTTCTGGGAGTTTGCCGGCCCTGCTATCATCCCCTGCAAAGCTCCTCTTGCCACAGTCCAATGGCACTAATTGAACACACAAATGAGGGAGATAAAGGGAGACTTGGCTAATTTTTTTTAAAAAATTGGCTTCAGAGGAGGAAATCTCATCATCAGTCATGATTACAAACTTCCCACGTGGTCTCAACACAGACCTAAGCGGGAGCTATTCTACAGCAGCTTGTCTGACGGCAGGTACACAAGCACGTAACCCTTTTTGGTCTACAAAGACTTTGAGGGGATCAGAGGTGCTGCAAACCTCCCTGCTCCCCTTGGTTTAGAAGACCATTCAACCCCGAGTCTTCAGCTAGAGATACTATCAATCACCTGGGCATCTCCACTGTCATCAGTTGTCTTTTTGGACAGAAGATGCTGTGCAAATAGCCTTTCAGTGTGGGCACCACTGGGTCCAAACAATTCCAGGGCTAGGCCCGTGACACCTGTGACCGCCCCACTTCTTCAAAGTCATTTCCCAAGAAGCAGAGAGGAGAAACAGAGCCACCGAGGGAAAAGGGCCCTGGGTTTCGCTCGATGCAGAGGCGAGCTGCGAGTTCCTTTGGCCTTGCACACTGATGACAGTCAATGGTGGGTGAGCCCAGGTGACGGGGAACTCCACGCCCACAGAGACCTCAGAGGGACCAGGGTTTTGTTGCCTGAGCTCATCCTAAATGCACAGGTTTTGTTAGAAATGAGAATACGGCAAATCCAAATGGAATGAATTATTGATCTTGAGCTTCAGAGGAGCTTGTAAAACATACACCTGAGTTCCAGAGAAAGCTGGTCACTTATTAATAAAGAGGAGGAAGGAGCTGGGACCTGGAGGGAAGCAGGGGCTGCGCATTAGGGTTGGGGGTGCACAGGGAAGGCGGCCTGCGCCTGTGGCTGCCAGCTCGACGCAGACTCCTGCAGGGCACGTGCTGGCATCATGGCCTGAGCCCAGCTGGCAGGAGACGGGAATGTGAAACAATCCTCTGGGGAAAATTCACAAATATAAGAACTAGAGGAAAACGGAAATCACTGACAAAGAGACTCCAATGACAACAAGAAAACTAAAAAAGAGCCCAGGCCGTAGGCCAGGGGTGGGCAACCTTTTTGTGAGTGCGTGCCCAAACCAGCAAAATCTCTGACTCAAAATTCTTCTGCGTGCCAACCCTAATTTTTTGAGAACATGTTACGCCTACTTGAT